ATATTGTATATTTTATTTTGTAAACTTTTTTATTTATAAAATATTATGTTACAATATTATCAAACCATATTTTATATCAAATTATATTTGATTTTCATTTTATTAATAAATATCATAAATAGCCATATAATTTTTGCGTCAAGTATTATTCAAAATATATAACCCCTTCCCTTACAAATAGTAGTGCACTGGCGTTTGAAAGCCTCATAGGCGCCACTTGGGGTCAGGAATATGTTCAGGTCCAATTTGTCGCCAATTAATAATGTCAGGGCTTTCGTAGTCACGTAGGAGTAGCCCAGAATTGATGAGCATTTCTTGAGGTACGCGTCCACCAGCCATATGGCCTTAATGTAGACATACTTTCCCTCGAGTGATCCCTGGCCAGTGGTAGCCAGGTACAATATCTCTTGCTGTCTATAAGCTATGTTCAATAAAGTTCAATTAAAATCAAAATAAATCAATATTTATAAAGTTATAAGTATATTAATAATAATAGTAACTAGCAAAATACTATGACTGACCTCCTTGTGGGTAGATTGAGACTGCCAGGGTCTTTAACTTGTTAACAATACGTTGATTAGCATTACACGCGGTTATGGTATCCTCTTGGAAAGGGTTAAAGTCAGTACTTTGTTCGCTACATAATTGATCCTGGGTGAACTGCTCGATCCAGGTATAGTTATTAGCATCCTTGCCCTCGCACTGGTCAATAGCCGCATAAACGAGCAGATTTTGTGATAGGGCAGCTAGATCATATAATTAATTTAATAAATTATCTTAGCATCAAAAAAGTTATATGACTTACGAGTCCCTCCACCAGCGCTTACTTTATCTGAAATATAAAGTTATTTTTAAAAATATAGTTAAAATTTTGTAATATAAAAGTCATTACATGTTAGTCCAATTAATACCAATATTGTAGTTAGTATTCTCAACATTTTTGTAGATTAATGTTACCAGTATATTAACCGGCTATTTTAAGACTTGATAAAATAAATTTAAATAAATGTGGTGCTTATATAGCCTACTCTAATCACCAGTGTTCTTTTGATTTTATATTAACATATTTTATTATTTTATTCCTTGCATTAAATTAATTAAAATATGTTTTACATATAATTTTCTATAAACATGATAATTAAAATTATATAATGAATACGTAGTTTTAAAGTTTAATGAACTTAACTAAAATAGCATAACAAATAAAATTTACATATTATTTCACAATTTTAAAATTATTAAAATAAATAAATAAAACTAATTGTTATATATACCAGTTCATTGATACAAACAAAGTTATTATAAATATAAATTTACAATTTATAAATTATAATTTAAAAGCTCATGTGAATTTAGTGACCGGTGTACTATAAATTTTATTTCGTTTTTTACAGCAATTAATCATGTTATAATTATAATTCACAGTGAAATTAAACTTTTTATACAAGACTACAATATTTCTACACATATTAATAACCCTATGTATTAGATCTGAAATCATAACTATGGATACCCCAAACCATAAACTAAATATACTGGCTACAAAGCATACAAATTCTTCAGGCTTAATTTTAAGCACTTGGGTAAAAATTAATTGCGGGCTCAATGGTATTCGTATACTAATCCAGGTATAATTATTATAGGGGTTATAACCACCAGCATACTTATTAAGTTTAATAAATTCTGTACGACACTCTGCTTTACTATGGCAAATGTCCTTGCACTCATTGTTAAAGATGATCATATTATCATCCGGGAAAGTATTATTTAAAAAGACATACTTGCTAGTTACATTATAATACAAAATCAAACTAGGTAGCCTACCAAAATACTTAATATATCTAGACACCTGACACTGTGCCAAGCACTGTTCACGAGTTTTATACATATGACCTAGCTTATTGTAGTCAATGCATTTACCCTTAGACTCCAAACGATTAGAAATAATTCTCTCATAACTGATAGAAATTCCCTTTTCTTTGGGTTCATTAGTGATCAACATACTGGGCCACTTATTGTAATCATAAATCAATTCACCACGGTCATGAATCATCAAAAAAATTCGCGTAAAATTTAGATAAATCATCAAGCCAAGTATATGCCCGGAAACAGATATTGGCGATTGTGGATCAACCTTGTAATTAGTATCAGGCTCATTATCTAATTGCAAAAATAATGAAAAGCAATAAAATAATGGATTTATTGATAGCTTAATAGTCGATACGTGACTACAATTATAATCTTGCGACAAGTCCTTGGTTATTGTTTTCAGGTTACATATGATGAGCTTGGTCAACTCGTGTTGAGACAATAGTTGCTCAAATTGTTCGGCCACTGTTAGCTTGTTAAAATAAGTCTTAATGTATGACTGGTCAAGGAAGTTAAATTGCTTATTATTCAAAAATTCATGTTTACGTCCGCAAAACGTGAGCGCCGGTAGATATACGGGGACTTCCTTTTCATAGCTTACATCAGTGGTGGTCTCGTATGCGAAGTATATTTGACTGATTTGTGTGATTTGAAATAGACATCCCATACAACATAACACATAAATGCAGTAATTAATGTATCTGGACATGATTATAATATGCTTTTAGCAAGTAACATAAGAATTAAATCTTAGCATACAGTATTATAGACAATATGCTAGTGTATAAAATTATAATAATATAAACTTTTATTTGCATAACAAATAATAAATCAATTTATTGATTTATCTAGCTTTCTTTGAAAACAACATTAAATGTAAATTTTAATTATATTTATTTTATTTATTTAAGAAAATCAATACTTTATTAAAATATTATTTTTACAAAATTAATTGAATTGTTTTATTTCTATTTCTTATTAAGCAAACAAATATTGTAATTATTTTTGATAAAAGTACCCTGTTTGACATGAGATAGTGCGCCGCACTATCTGTTAAAAAAGTGATTTTTTGGGAAAAAGTATAGGCGCACTATACGATAGGTGCGCATTATCTGAGAAAAATAATTTCGATTAAAATAATTTTTATTTGCAATAATTTTAAATTAATAGAATCAAAGAATTAAATCAAACTTTGTATTAATTAAGCAACTTTATAAATTAAAAACACATTTGAGTAAATGTGTTTAAAAAACGTGTGTATTAGCACAAACTAACTAAATAAATTTTGAATTAAATTATTTAAACATTTAAATCCTTTTGTCTTATCTAAATCTTGGGTTGAGCTAATGCCTAAACATTTCAAATAAGAATTTGTCCTGAACTCTTAATTTATAGTCATTAATACCTGTGTGTATATTCATATAAAATCTGTGCGCACTATACGGTGGGTGCGCATTATCTGAGTAAAAACATAGTTTTGTGGTAAATATAGAAAGCGCACTATACGCCGGGGCGCACTATCTCACGTCAAACAGGGTACTTTTACACAAATATTTATTATTATTTGTATAAAAATATGTACTGAAAAAGTTTGATTGATTAAATAATAGCAATTCACAGGTAGATGTCAAAGTCCAAATTAAATATGTAAAAATGTGCTTAATACAAGTTATAATTTACAAAATAATTAAATTACAGTTTTTATAGTTATAAAACTAATAATAAAGTTAATATTTTTGAATTATTAATTAACAATAAATTAAATAAAATTTTATCGCAGTTATAAAAATAATCAAATTATAATTTACAAAATAATTAAATTACAGTTTTTATAGTTATAAAACTAATAATAAAGTTAATAATTTTGAATTATTAATAAACAATAAATTAAATAAAATTTTATCGCAGTTATAAAAATAATCAATATAGAAATTCATAGAATATATCATAATTAGTAAATATATTCATATTATGATATCATATTCATATTCATTCAGTAACATACAGTATTATAGATGTACAGTATTATATAACTTACATAATAAAAACTATTATATTTCAGAGCTATAGACGTGATGTTTAAACATATCATGAATATTGATTTGCATTTACAATATTGCTTGTAAAACACACATTCATAAAAAAATAAAATTTATATTTTATACTATTTTATTATGCCATTCAATGAATCAATAGACATAACACAATAGATTTCTTGAGAATTTACTTTCAATACGAAAATCCAAAAAATATATTAATGTTTTCAAATTCAAGGAAATCATTATTCACAAACATTTTCAAAAGCATTGATAATGAATAAATTAGAGTATAAATATTATTACAGACAAATTATTTTTTTACAAACATTAATAGTTACAACAATTTAGATTTTCATACTAGTTTTTAAATATAGCCACTAGTTATGTATTCCAAAAATAAAAAATATTTTAAAAACAAAATTTAAATTTTCAAAATCAGATTACATTTCCCCTTCATTTGCGATATCATAGCATTTAATCAAATATTTGTCTTTTGGATTCAAAATATTTTGTGATAAATGTCACAAAAACTAGTTTTTGAATTTTAAACACTGCATTAAAAACTTCAAAAATACACTTTTGCTCAAAATATTTTACTTTTTACATAAAGTTTTATTTAATTGTGAACTCAATACTAACATGATTTATATTAAATTAAATAATTAGCTATAATAATTACAATGAATTATAAAAATATACTAATTTTAATAGTGAATGTGCTATTAGTCCATTGGACACTATGTGATAAGCCTAAGCGACCTATCTACAATATCGCACATATGGTCAACTCGATTGAACAAGTGGACAGTTATCTGGAAAGGGGTGCCAACGCTATTGAATGTGACATACAGTTCGTGGGCGACGGGACACCAGTCCATGCCTTTCACGGCATTCCCTGCGATTGCTTCAGAGATTGCGGGAAATGGACGCCAATTGAGCTCTACATGCAGTACATCAGAAACATAACTACACCCGGTCTGTGACCCTGGTAATCAGTATATAAACAGTATATTAAGTCAATTATGTTTTCAATTTATAGAGAGCCTTAAATATAATGATAAATTTGTACTCATTATACTGGACCTGAAAACTGACAATTTAGACGAGATTAAAAAATTTATAGCCGGACAAAGGTTATTTGACTTATTGCTGGAGCACTTATTTAACCGTGGTCACGTACACACCCGGGTCAATGTACTGCTCTCTATACAGAGGGTATCGGATGAGCCATTAATGACCGGGTTTATGGATGCTTTAAATAGTATGGATTTAAGTCACTTAAACAGACACATCGGTTGGGATGTCAGCGCTAATGAACCCCTGGATGTCATCAGTAACATAGATACTAAGAATCAATAAAAAACTTATTAATGAATTGAATGCACCCAGGCACGATGTACAGCAAGCGGGCTATGTATGGAAATATATGGCAAAGCGATGGTATCACCAATTGTGTCAGTTTTATAAACCCGACCGATAGGCTCCAGGCCACCCTACACTTGCGGGATAACTTTCGCAAGCCTTACATGAGCAAGATCTATCACTGGACTATTGACCTGCACTTTTCTATTAGAAACTCGCTCAGGTTTGACATAGTTTATATTTTATTTATTTGCATTACATTATTTTACTATTATATTCATACAGTACATGCATATTAATTGTTTATAAATTAATGAGGTTTATTTGTTACCCTATTAATTAGACTGGGTGTTGACGGACTCATTACAAACTACCCGGAACGTATAGCTAGTATATTGAATGAGGATGAGTTTCATGACGACATACGATTAGCCAACTATACCGACAATCCCTGGACTAGATATATGACCGATAAGTCTATGACTGGTATTAAAGTCAATACAAATCACTTGGAAAGACTACAATTCATATACTCTTTATTGTATAAATTATACAAAAATCAAAACTAATTAATACATTAACTCTATTTATTTGTAACTATTTATTAATAGGGTAATCTAAAAAATGTAGTATTTAAAAAGTAATGCTATTTATTTATTATAAAATAAATAACTTGTAATTAGATTATATTTTAGAGGTATTTAAAGATTAGCATAATTAAAAAAAGTTAAATAAGTTTACTATTGTATTACAAATCAGTAACTTTAGCCTGATCACTCTTGTTATCAATCTCAGCATCGGGCACCTTCTCATCGACCACGGGCTTGGAGGAGGTGTCAGTAGTGGGTTCAGTTAGCGTCGACATCTCAACCTCCTTGACCCCAAACTTTACGTCGACATCCAGTTTCACGTACTCACTGCTCAAATCCCACAGTTTTCTAGCCATCACATCATCCGATGCCCTCTCAGTCAAAAACTCCACCTTTTCGTGATTTCTATCATATTTTAAACCCAAAAAATTAATATTTATATAAACAGAGTTAGCTAAACTTTAACAAATACCTGTAATAATGTCCTGTCTCATTCTTAAACTTATCCTCCAGTGCCACGTATATTACTCCCTGAACTCCGATACTATTAACCGATACTTTATGCATGACATCACCAAATATATACTTATTAATATCTGTCAATTTGCGTCTATTACGCAAAACACCCGGGTTAACCGCGTAGACATGAATATCGGCGCCGGTGTCCTTTAGCCGTTTAGCCAACTCGCGAGTGAACAACACCTGAGCCAGTTTACTTTGGTTATAAGCGGTGAGGGGTAAGAAAAAGCCCTTTTCGTGATTAACGTCAGTCAAGTTAATGGCACCGAAATGGTGGGCAATGGACGCCACGTTAATAACACGAGGGCTACTAGACTTAGAAAGGCTATTCAGCAACAGTCTGGTGACCAGAAAATGACCTGCAATGTACAGAATATTATGTACTAATTATCTGTTAATTTTTACCCTGATTCTATGACTCACTTAAATAGTTTTCCACAAAATTTCTCTCAAAGCCGTCTTTCGTGACAATCTTTTTATCGCTGAATTCGTCGCCACTATTGACGAGTAAATCAATTTTTGGCTCTTGTTTTGAGACCACTTCGGCGAACTCGCGGACAGAGGCCAGGGATGTCATGTCCAGCGCCACGGGTGTGATGTTAGCCACGGCTGACTCGTTGGACTGTTTGATGATTTTCAGCACCCGTTCCATCGTTTCTACATCATTGACGCCCATAATTACCTAGATACATACAAAAAATCATCAAAAAATCATTTACATATTAAATATATTAATTATCCGTACCTTAAACCCAAGTTTACCCAGCTGAATAGCCGTGTCTCTACCAATACCTTCATCAGCGCCGGTAACCACAGCTACCTTTCCCTCGACCTTATGTTTCTCCTTAGTATTGAAGGGACTGGTAGGCAATAGTTGCTTATTAGCGGGTCGTAGAAGGTCTCCAAACTCTCGGGCGATACCCAGAAATGTCTGAAACTTTCGGTGAATATCGGAGGGCTGTTGTTCACCCACCTCGGGGAACGGTAGCTTAAGGTGCGGGAACATAGGACTTATGTAATCATTATACAATCTCATATGGGTTTCCAAGATAGCCCTGAATAATACATTAAAAACACAAGTCATGGTGTTAAGAAATTCAGCTAGCTCACTCATTGCTTATGGCTAACTATACCGCTCTCACAGACAATAAAAAAATTAATGAATTAATGTTTTTATTTTTTACACAAATCTATTATCCTGTTATAAACGGCAATAGGCGTTATTTGAGTTTAATGTACCTATTGGTATAATTATCATGAATTAGCCTGGATATCCGTTTAGTCGTAATAATTATTTTATAATTATACAGAATTTTTTATTTATACATTAGTTTTGAACAATATTTCACAAATTATTTTTATTTTTATTTATCACTAATTTAGTTTTAATTAATTAGTTCATTAATGTAAGTAATCAATATGATTTTTATATTAATACCTTATAGTATATTTATTTAGTAATTAAATTACATTATAGATACACATAATAATAATTATATTTTAATATAAGGTTTACATTAATTAAAAATAAAATAAATTATAAATATCAACACAATTATTATAATAATAGAAATTATTAACAAGTCACTTATAAGTGTATAGTTTTTAAAACAGTCATTTGTTAACAAACTATGTTTACTAACCCTAATATAATGTTTACAATAATTATTATACAATTGCTCCAAAAAATTCATATATTTTTCTTGAATAACGTGTTGAACACTATATCCGTCACATCCCTGTCCACCGGACAGTACGGCCCGCATATCACATGCCTGTGCCGTCCATACGGTGCACTCAATTTGCTCGCAAAAGTCACTATTATTCCGATAATTGGGATAAAATATTTTCATAACTTCCTTAATATTAAACAAAAATTGTTTTTCACATAAAATAAGATTTTTATTGGTTTTGGCGTTAAAACATAAATCATTTTCATCGCTATTATTATGATTATTATTGTAATCGGAATTAAAAGTAATATAATTGTCAACTTCAAGCGTATTCTCGCATTTAATACAATATAAATTCATCGATAATACATGTATAATTAAAATACATATTAATGAATTAAACATTTTTGCACAACTCATATGTGGTTAGCATTGAAAACAACACTTTTCTACACTGAAAGTCAAGTTTATTAACAATCTCTGTGTTAACACAAAAAGTAGTTTATTTTATCTTAACATTAGTTTTGCCGTAAGTTTTGCATACAATTTGTACTGAAATTGTGTTTAAATATACATAAACTGGTGTTTGAAGTGTTGGCTAATTATAGACCAACACATGATTTTGTGATGCATTACTGGCACTAAAAATAATACTTTGTATAAATAATCCTGAGATCCCTATCCCATCATGTATTACACGATGAAAGGGATGCCTTAGCCTTAAACTTCATAATCCATGAACACTATGAATAACTATTTAAATGTCATTTATAATTATATGTAAAACAATGTAGATTTAAAAGTGTTAGGCTTAATATTTTTTATATAAATTAGTTTTTAACATAGTATTGGTGATAAATTGTATACAAATATAAACAAGGATACATATATAATAAATTAACAATAGTCGTACTGTATAATACAGTATTATAATAATGTTAGCAATTTCTTAATGATAGTAAATTATATATAAATAATAAATTAACAAGTAGGTTTAACTAATTCTAGTGCAGAAACATAACATGACTTAACAAAAATACAAAATCATTTTAATATTGCAAACTTATATTAATAGCAAAAATCAATATAAATAGTAAAATAACATTACAATTACAACATCTATTACCATGATTAATTATATTATAATCACAAATAGCTGAATATTCACCATACTCCGAGCACTTATCGAGCACATCTGTTTTCACATGATTTTCACTGGGTAACTGAGCGTATAGACTGGCCACCCGGTGCCCACAGTACTCAATCTGTTCAGCCGCCCTACGGACACAGTGCTTGACCTCCCAGCCCCCACAACACACCGCCCTTTTCACGGACTCCGTGCTCACATCCATGCGATACATATGTAGCGTACGATTAACGGCCTGTCTATACAACCTCTCGCACCGGTATCTATACGGCCTCAGAGCTGCCTCACACTTAGGACTGTCCCATAAATCCACTTCACCGAGATTGAGCACCGGTATGTATGTCTGGTAGGCCTGACGACCCACACAAATGAATACACAATTAAATATTAACCAAACTGCTAATATAGTATTTGTAAACATTTTTTTGTAAACACTTTATTATCGCAAACTTTGTTTTAGTGAATCTTAACTGTTATTAAAATCAAAATAAAAGTGTATTTTTACAGAAATAAAATTTTCCAACAATTTTTGTAGTGTTTATATTACTACGTGTCGACACATACATCAATAAGATTATGAAATCAGTCAATGAGATCAGTTAAAATGCTATCATGCACTTTTAACAACATTAATAATAAACACGTTATAATTTCAATATTAATCTTAATTGATTGACATTTCTGTGAATTATTATATAAGACATGACTTTTATAAATACATAAAATGTATTTTATTATGAATAATGTTTATCAATTATAATATCCAGTAATAATAACATTATTTATTTTAATCTACCAGTACATTAACAGGTATTGTTTATGTATAATATTTAATATTAATAAAATGTATATTAGGACTTATTGTAATATACACATTAAGTTATACTAAAAGGTATATGGATGTAGATAATGGATAGAGATTATATAGTATATTTAATTAGAAAGTTTTATTTTTGGGAAAGTTTTTATCATTTAAATTAACAATGATTGCAATTTTTGTGTTAAGATTATTGTAATATTTTGTGTAATTCGATGTGCTAACTATCTATTTGCAAATGTTCAAGGCAATAACATTTATATAAAATAAATTAGTTTTAATACATACATAAGGGATACGAAAAAATTATTAGCGATTTTCAATGACGTGATTAATGCCATAGAAAATACTCTATTATTACGAGTCGTGACAATAGGATTAAAAAATAACACAAATATATTGAATATATTGTGTTTTACTAATTAAATTATATATTTATATTGTGTTTAAATAAAATTAATTATTTAAAATCATTTATAAAACATAAAATAAAATATAAATTATTGTATATTTAAATGTGTATTTATTTTTGCTATTTTACAAAACCATTTGTAATTATTTTTCTATGAGAAAAAATCTTATGTATAATTCATTGTAAAATTATAAAAAAGTAAAAATTTATAATTTAATTATTTCGAGGCCAGGGTTGCCATAAATAAACTGATTAATCTAATTAGCAAGTTCATTGAAAAACATACTCTATATAATTGATTTGCAGTTTATTTTAATGCGATATTTTTTATTACACTTAATAGTTATCATAAATTATACAAATATAAAATTATAAAAAATATTATTTACAATATCTATGGGCCGGGTAGGCAAACGAGTGCACAAAACGTTAGGAAAGACAGACTTAAAGCGAGTAATAGAAAAAATATAATAATACATAGGTAACAACCACCACAACCCAAATTACATGATAATAATATGACCACCACCATGACCACTAGCACCAGGATCAGTACAAGTCCGCTCACACTTAACGCCAAACATATACCCATTTTTTTATTTAATATATTAGTTGATTGATATAATAGTTATATAAAAAAATTGTCAAACAAATTATTTTAAAAATCATTTTCTATGAACTCATTGACCGAAATTAGGATTTTTAACTTTCCATGTAATTTGGGTTGTGGTGGTTGTTACCTATGTATTATTATATT